TTGGGTTTCTGAGCAGCAAGCAGCCTGGCTCCAATGCCCCTAAAGAGATAAAATCTCATATCAACATGACTCAGCTGTAGGGTTGTGTTTGTGAGTGGAGCTATGAATATCTTTGCTACAATTTTGTCCCCGTGGCCTTGACCCTCCTGTTTATTCCCATCAGCCCTGGTCTTCTCTCACCCACCATGTCACATTCCTCTCCGCCACCACCACTCCAGATTATTCTCTCAGTCCCTCTTCCCTGGACGTTGCACACACCATGCCATGTCTTTTTCAGAATCTGGAGATGCACCTGGCATGAGAAAAAGCCCAATTTTTATTCCACGGCTGTGGCAGAATCTCTTCGTCTTGACTTCTTCCTCTGCTTTCTATCGTCACTTGTTAGAGTCCCCTTTACTCTATTGGAATCTGCACTTCCCTATTTTCTGACTGTCCACATGGTTAAAACGGAAGCTCTGATCCACTCCTGCTTCTGCCCCCATGCCACACGTCACTGGGCAACCTGGCAACCCCAGCCATTAAGCGGATTCAGGCATGAAAATTGTTCTCGATGCCAACAGATCAGAATAGTTAAGAAAAGGGAAAGCTTCTCACCTTCTGTGATCAGTCTGTGAGACGAGGGCTATCACCCAAGAATCTTCATCTCCTACGTTACCTGGGAACGCAGAACACACACACACACACATGCATGTGCACACTCACACACCCACAAGCAATTGAAAGGCTTGCCTCAGCAAAAAGATGAGCATCCTGCCTGCTGGTCACTGGACGTGCCCACTGACCTCATATACTTCTCCATCGTGTCTGGATTGTTGAGTGAAATTCTACTCCTCCATGGCTCCCTTTGGTAATTCCCTAATTGCCTCAGTAAAGCCTCCATTCCCTCTCCAGCTCTGTCGGCCCTCAGCATTGAGATTTCCTAATGGAAACCACTCTCTTCTGCTGGAATCTCAGGGTGTAATTAGCAGTCTGGGACTTCAGTTCCCTGCTTTCCTTAGGATGAAAGCCAAGCCATTGCCAAAAATGCTGTCACCGTCAGTTCAGCTCCTCCTGGAAGAGAGCATAGGAGGGAGTTGTTTCATGTTGACTGTCTCCTGTATATTTATTGACTGAAACAGTTGAGCTGTTGCTCTTCACATTTGTAATTTTAGATCACAGATGCCTAGCATGTTTAATCATACAGCAAAACTCACATTAATGAGGAAAATGTCACGTATATTGTTATCCACCATAAAAGCTGTGAAAAAATATCTCTGCCATCTGCAATGCGCCTTCTGCTGCTGCCTCTACGAATTTTACTAGTAACAATACAAAATTAACAGTAGGGCAAACACTTAAAAATGGAAACTTGTTGAACTTCCTCCTTGCTCTACAAAATCCAGCATAAGTACTGACCACCTCTCAAAGTCATGTTGGGATACCTCGCCTAGGTTTCTGCAGCAACCCGTTACTGGATCTCCCCGCAGCCAGCACCCTCCAAATACATCTTTAACATTTCTGCCAGAATGATTTTCTAAATCTGAAATCTGGAATATCAACCACTACTTAGAAATGTGGTGAGGACTTTGCGGTCCCTGCCATGCCAGCCAGAACACGCTGTGACCCAGTCCCATCCTGTCCTTCCCACCAGCCCCCCTCACACCCCACCTTCCAGCCAGGCCACGTTGCCAGTGACTAACGGGGCCCACCATGCCCTCTCCAACCTCCATGCAGTCTCTGACTACAGCATTTTCCCCGTCCTGTGCATGGCAATTCCTATGCATCCTGAAACATCTGCTTCAAATGTCCGTTCCTCTGGGAAGTCTTCTGTGACCCGTTCAGGCAAAATCCATTGGTCTTCATGTCTGCAAAGTGATTCGTGACTTTCCGCGTCTGGAGGACTTCTCGCGGGGAGTCCTCACGCTCTGTTTACCAGTGTCGTCTTCTTCCACTCTGAGCTCCTTTGTCACAAGGACGGTATTTCAATCACTGTTGCCTCCCAGTCCAGCACAGCCATGGCTGCTGTGGTAACTGACTTGGAAGCTACAGAATCACTGTGATTGGGGCAAGATGGGTGAGGATTCTTACCCAGGAACGTGCTCTTTTGACTTTGGCAACACAAAACCTTGCCATTCTGCAGGCCACGTTTATTTCTGTGTTTTCTCTCTGTGCTTTAGCCCTCTCTCCTACCAAAAGAAATAACAGCCCTGTCAGTCATAGAGCAATTGATAGTGATAAAAATTCTCCTTTTAGACAGTGAGTTCACTTGTTCTTAAGTCATTCTTTGCCACAAACTGCAGGCTTATTATACGAGGAAAATGTGGTATCTCTGAGAAGCCACACTCTTAGAAGTTTATAATTTACCTCGACTGATGACTAAGGCCTAGAGGTTTTTACTGCTTATTTGAGTGTGGTTTGGGTTGGGGAGTGATGATAAACAAAGCTTCGTCTTACTCACTGGAGCTCGTCTGGAAACCACAGAGCAATACCTGTTCTTTGAGAAGGCACCTACTGCTTGCTTGGGGGTGTGGAAGGGAAAGGAGCAGTCCTCTCAAACTTCATCTCTGCTCTGAGCAGGTGCTTACTGGCCGGGATCCTCCACCCCCCAGTTCCTGTGCTCCATGACTTGTCTCCCCCTGAGTTACAGCAGTTGCAAAAGACTACTCCACCCGACATGACGTTGGGCAAGAAAAAGGGAATTTGGGGCAAGATATTGGGTGATCTCCACAAATCCAAAGGAAAGACACATGCAGATTTCACATGGAAGTGAAATTCGGAAACAGAGAGCAGGAAACGCAACTTGGGCTGTCTTTTGCCCCCTGTAGTCTTCCCATACCCTCTTTGATTAAATCCAACCATCCCTGAAGACTCAAGTTCACGATCCTCCGTTCCGACTGACCAGATTCTCTCCACCCTAGTTCTGAATTCCCTGTGCAAATGTATTCCACAGCTTCTTCCAATCCACGTTGGACAGGAGACAGGTGCATGTCATATGTACAGAGCCCATCTCCACAATGGGAAAGCGTGGACTTCACAGACACCCTAAATGCCGACGGCAAACCCTTCCTTTCCTTTCCTTTCCTTTCCTTTCCCCACACCATGTGGAACAGACCTCCCTCAGCACCCGTAGAAGGGGCGAGTCCTGCCAAACTGACACCTAGATCTTGGACTTCTCGCCTCCAGAACTGTGAGACAATACATTTCTGTTGTTTGAGCTACATGGCTTATCATAGCAGCCCCAGGAAACTATGCCACTGCCCTTCAAAAAGAGGAGACAGACAAGCTGTGCGGGGCCAAGGCGATCTCCCCAACATTGAAGGAGGTCAGAATGGCTTGGCTGTCATTGCTGAAGCCATGATTTACCTTTAACATGGATGGCCCCTTAAATGGAGAATGAGACAATTCAATTGAAGAGATTTTAAGAGTACGTATATCTATAGCTGTATCTGTATTTACACAGTGCTCATTAGTCAATGTGACTAGTGGCTACCATGTTGGACAGCACAGATATAGCACATTTTCATCATCACAAACATTCTGCTGTACAAGACTGCTCACAAGAAGCAAATGATGTGGAAGACCGGAGACTAGGGCTCTAGAGCACTGGCTGGGTTCCAATACTCTTCCTCCTCTTGAATTGTGTGTGTGTGTGTGTGTGTGTGTGTGTGTGTGTGTGTGTTTATTCTCTCTATATATAAAGAACAATATGCAGATGTGTGCGTGTGTGTGTATCACACCCACGCTTGTCACAGAAGTCACATAGGAACGGAGACCCTCAAGGTCAAACTACTCTTTAGCAAGTCTTGAAATTCATAGCTGTTTTTAAGAAACCTTTTTCCTTTGAGGGAATACTTATTTACTTGGTTATTTTGCTGCTCATGAGAAGCAAATGATGTGATGGCTGGGTTTCCATCCTCCTCTCCAATTTCCTGATCATCTTAGGCAAAACATTTGCTGTTTTCCACCTTTTTCCCCTCTTTCTACCAAAAGAAAAGGAAAGCTAGCTTACTTACATAATGGACATTGTTTGTGAAATAAAATATATGCATGCAATTTAGTGCAAAAAATATTTACAGAACAATTCTCATGAGCCAGGCATCATGGTAAGTCTGTGGACCAAATACATAACACATTCTGCCAGCCTCACGGAGCTTGCAATCAAGTAAGAGAAAGATGAGGCCAAAAATAATTACAATACCAGCAATAACAAATATGCACGAGATATTTAAATAGGATGAAATGATACAAAGGTAGAATGATTAATTTGATGGTAGTGTAGGTGTTTGCAGGAAGACTTCATATAGGAAGTGTTTCTGAAAGAGAAAGTTTGGAAGATGAATTGTAGTTTTTATAGTTGCAGCCGAGTTTTATGTATACAATAAAATCCTGTATATATAAAACCCTGTATACAATAAAATCCAGGTCTTTTCTTTCCTTTTCCATTTCTCTCCTGTGATCACAGCTCTACCTCAGAAGTGTTCAAACTTTGGGCCAGGTGCAGTGGCTGGTGCTTGCAATCCCAGCACTTTGGGAGGCCCAAGGCAGGCAGATCACCTGAGGTCAGAAGTTTGAGACCAGCCTGACAAACATGGTGAAACTCCGTCTCTACTGAAAATACAAAATTAGCTGGGTGAGGTGGCACACGCCTATAATCCCAGCTCAGGAAGCTGAGACAGGAGAATCGCTTGAACCCGGGAGGCAGAGGTTGCAGTGGGCCAAGATTACCACCGCACTCCAGCCTGGGCAACAAGAGTGAGACCCCATCTAAAAAAAAAAAAAAATGTTCACACTTTGTAGTCGACCTGCAGAACACACTATTCAAACAGAATCTTATGTGAAAGCACAATATGTAAAGAGTGTAAATGCAGGAAACAACATAAAGGTGGGGGGCACGGCAGCGTTTTATAAACCGGACCGTGAATCTGCACGGTTTCTCTTTCCAGCCAGCGCCGAGCGATGGGCATCTCTTGGGACAACTGGCGCAAGCACCGCAAGACCGGGGGTCAAGAGAAAGCCCTGCCACAAGAAGCGGAAGTATGAGTTGGGGCCCCCACCGCATCCACACAGTCCGTGTGCGGGGTGGTAACAAGAAATACGGTATCCTGAGGCCGGACGTGGGGTGTTTCTCCTGTGGCTCAGAGTGCTGTACTCGCAAAACGGGGATCATCGATGTTGTCTGTAATGCGTCTAATAACGAGCTGGTCCGTACCAAGACCCTGGTGAAGAATTGCATCGTGCTCATCGACAGCACGCCTTACCGACAGAGGTACGAGCCCCACTATGCGCCGCCCCTGGGCCGCAAGAAGGGAGCCAAGCTGACTCCTGAGGAAGAAGAGATTTTAAACAACAAAGATCTAAAAAGATTTCAGAAGAAATACGACGCCAGGAAAAAGAATGCCAAAATCAGCAGTCTCCTGGAGGAGCAGTTCCAGCAGGGCGAGCTTCTTGCATGCATCGCTTAGTGTGGCCCAGCAGATGGCTATGTGCTAGAGGGCAAAGAGTTGGAGTCCTATCTTAGGAAAATCAAGGCCTGGAAAGGCAAATAAATCCTTGTTTTCTGTCTTCACCCATGTAATAAAGGTTTTTATTGTTCTGTTCAAAAAAAAAAAAAAAAGTGTAAATGCAATGCAGGGTTCCACTTTGGGCCAAAGTAAAGTAACAGGTATCACATTTATCCTCTTGATGAAAATAGTAACAACACCAATAAAAAAAAGTTAAAAAAAGAAAAACAGTTTTCAAGCTACTAGACACTTCCTGATGGAGGACAGTGATCATCATGAGGCAGGAAGCAAACCAGGAGAGCCCTGACGTTGCCCCCATCTTGAAAGAGTTTCCAGGTGACAGTGCAGAGGGAGGAACTCACGTGCCAGAAGACTCCATAATTTGATGAGACAGAGCAGAGAGGTTGTATGGTTTCAATTACGTGAGATGTCCAGAATGGGCAGACCCATGGAGCCTGAAAGTAGACAAGTTCCATGGGCTGGGAGGAGAGGCAAGTGGGGAGTGACTGTTAATGGCTTTTCTTTTTGGAGTGATAAAAATGTTGTGAACCTAGACAGTGGTTAGGATTGCGTAACTTTGTGAATACACTAAAAAATTAACTGCAGTGTACACTTGATAAGGGTGAATTTTATAGTGTGTGAATTTTATCTCAATAAAATAATTTACAAGACATAGTATTAAAGGCCAGGGAGAAATGAAAGTATATTATACGGCTAGTAAGCCACCAAGGATGTCTTCTGCTATTCTGTTTCTTTGTTGTTTTTATTTCATCCTCTTTAATAGACATCACTGCCGATCATCAATTATTTCCAGTATTTTTCACTTCCAGGGGTGTGCTAGGCTTGTACCTCTCTGCCTCTGTATTAGTCAACTCAGGCTTCCAGAATAGAATATACCACACACTGTGTGTGCCTTAAACAACAGAAATTTATTTCCTCACAGTTCTGAAGGCTGGAAGTCCAAGACAACAAGGGTCATTTCTGGTGAGGGCTCTCTTCCTGGCTTACGGACAGCTGCCTTCTCACTACATCCTCACATCCCTTTCTCTGTCCACACACTCCTGGGGGCTCTTCTCCTTCTTCTAAGGCACGATAACTTAACCTGTCCCAACTAATGCAGCCTCCATATTAAACACTGTTATCTTGCTTGAGTATCTTGATGTTTGCAATTTTAAAAATTTATATAATGTTTCAAAGAGTTAAGGTTTCACTTTAAAAAAACACGAAGACCCCATTGTGGAACACCTGGAATGTTTCCCATATTTCTCTATTAAATAATCAAACAGCAAAAAAAAAAATTTTAAACTTATGACTCTGTCGTTAAAAATATTTTTTTAATTCCTTAGGTTATATCCCCAAGTGAGATTATTGGGTCAAAAATTCCGTAATTTTATAGATGTAGATTTGTATAACCTTTGTATAACCTTTCACTCTATTACCTATAACATATAAATGTAGCTGTTCCACTATATCTTTACAGTCATTAGGTTGTAGTATTGTTTTCACCTAATTAAAGTGATATGCAAATGATCCCAAACTTAGGATGTTTCAACTTAAGGTTGTTCAACTTTATAATGGTGCAAAAGCAATACACATTTAGTAGAAACTGTACTTTGAGTACTTACACAGTCATTCTTATTTCACTTTCAGTACAGTCTGAATAAATCACATAAGATATTTTATAGTTTTTGTAATGGCTTCGGGTTAGATGATTTTGCCCAGGTATAGGCTAATGTAAGTGTTCTGAGCACGTTTTAATCTAAGCTACGATGTTTGGTAGGTTAGGTGTATTAAGTGCATTTTCACCTCACGATATTTACAACTTATGATGGGTTTACTGGGAAGTAGCTACACTGTAAGTTGAGGAGCATCTGTAAAGATTTGTGCAAAAATTCATTAAAAATCTGTGTCATTTTGCACAATGCATAAACAAAGGGTGATAACTAGATTCTAAAAAGTAGTCTCCTGGAGTGCATTTGAAGTTTGATTTGTTTTAATCAGCATAATGTGTGTATCCTGGTCAAGTATGACCGTTCTGTTGTGGTGTCCATCGAAGTAGGTGGGGTGTAAATTCTATGAAGGGCCGGGCTGGCTGAAGGATGTGGTCCTCACACTAAGCACTTCATATACTCATATGCACGGTGAGCTTAAAAAGCAATTGGAGTGTCTTGGCCCATGTAGGTGGAACACTGAAGAGTGTCAGGCAGAGCTGGATGGGAGGTACAGTCAAGGGTGGGGCTCTATCTCTCTCAAGGTCAGCTCTGCCTCCCATTGTATTGGCTTCTTCTGAAGACAAGTTCTCCCATGAAGTGGGGAAGATGGCCACCAGCAGCCTCCCATAACTGCCATGAAGTGGGAAAGATAGCCAACTCAAGGGAGGCCCTCCTGGCCTTACGGAAACACATATCCTTTGCATCAGTCCCACCCCTGTGGCCAACTGGGGGTGGTATGCTGACGGACATCCTAGGACCACAAGGAATGGTAAGATGAGTTCTTCCAGGGAAGGGGGATCCTGGGCAGACCAAACAATCAAAGTCCCCTGTGTCACGCATCCTCATACAATGCTATGGCTGAACTGAATTAGGGGAAATTCCAGATCAGCCTGAAGCATCCTGTAGCATCAACTTATGATGGGGATGTTATGATAGAGGACATGCTTTAAAAAATAGGAACATATCAAAAGGACATAGGAGTTACCCTGAAAGAGCACTCATGCCAAAGCTGGGACAATCCATGAGTCTGTGCCAGTATAAGTAAAAGAGTGAACAAGCAAATGCATAGGGAAGAAGAAACAAATCTTTCTCATGGAAGTACCACAAGTAATACAGGAGAGCATCGATGCAGCCACTTCTCCAGGAGGTGGGGCTTCATTGTTATCCTAGTGAGTGTGGACTGGACCTGGTGACTCACTTCCTCTAGAAGGGTATGGAAAGCGAAAAATAGCAACTTCACGATGGAGTAATCTGGCGGACGCCACCACAACCACGGGCTCAAGGTTAACATCACCAGAGATGAGTCATGGTGAGGTCATGTGCTCTCGAGGTAAGGCAATGAGAAGGGCACTTCACTCCTGTGGCGCTCACCCCCAAAACATAACCCTGATCAATCACAGACAACATCGGGCGGACTCAGAGTGATGCACATCATCCAGAATGCCCGATCAGCACTCCTCCAAAGGGTGATGGTCTTAAAACAGAAACAAAGTCCCGGAAACGGTCACAGATGGGAGGAGATTAAAGAGACATGAAGTCTAAATGTACTGTGGGATCCCGGGTAGAACCCTGGAACAGAAAAAAGGCATGAGTGAAATAAAGTGGCGAAATACAAAAAAAGTCTGGAGTTTAGTTAGTAGTATTGTGCCCGTGCTGACTTCATAACCGTGACAAACATGCTGCGGTTATGTAAGACATTAACAATTGCAGGAAACTGGCTGGACAGTATAGGAAAACTCCCTGTATTATCTTTACAACTTTTCTCTAAATCTAAGATTATTCCAAAATTTAAAAGTTTACTTGAGAAATTAACAGTGATTACCTGTTCCATACTAGGCACTGATTTAAGGGCTATGCCTATATTAACTTTTAAAAGTCTTAACAATCACATTATGAGGTATCTACTATTATGATTACCATGCTAATTTTATGGATGAGGCCACCAAATCTGAGAGGTTTAGTGACCATCTATAGTCACGTGGTTCTGAGTGTGCGATTTGGTTTGGTTCTAAAGCCTGTAATCTGCCATCTTGAAATCTACATAACAAACTTTCAAGGAAGAGTTTATATCTGCGCAGAGTTAATATTGTTTTTCCTGCTGAACACACTTACCTTAGGAGAAAAACCTGTTCTGGTCTGCACAGCTCACAGGGGTTCCCCTCCACACATTCCCTTTGCATACACTTTTCTAAGAGACAGGCTTTCAAATTGCAAGTGTTCCTAATCCCTAATACCCAGGCCCCACAATACTGGCAATTTCCAGAAGAGAAATGCAGGCAGCTCAGAAAAGAGAATTGAGAGAGAAAGAACCAACAAAAGGGAAATAAAATGTAGGAGAGGAAAGTATGAAAAGCAGTGCAAACTTCATTCCCTCACCAGAGTAACTCAGGGGTTGAGGAGAAATGGCTTAGTGCCTTACGTGTCGGGCACAGACCCCAAATCACCCACGAGAAAAGTGCCGTGGGCCCTCAGCCTCCTGCTTTCACTCACGAAAAGCACCTGTTTTCTGCTCTAATGGAGATCAGTGAATACCAACCACTGAATGACTCTCACGTGGTATGCCGTGTGATGTTAGTTAAAGCTCACACTCCTGAATTCTCACAATATTATGCCTTTTACCCACCTCGTATACCCACCTCGTAGGGCAGGGGTCTCAGCCTAACATGTCCACCACCTGATTTCACAGGGGCCATGAGCTTAGAACAGTTGTTATGTGACTAAATGGCTGAAAAATAGATCAAGTGATGAGTACCGTGTGACACGTGAAAATCATACCTCATTCAAACTTTGATATTCATAATTCAAGTTTTATAAACACAGCCTTGCCCATTTGTTTACATATGGTCTATGACTGCTTTCACACCGGGGAGTGTGACGATAAGGCTTGCAAAGCCTGAAATATTTACTAACTAGCCCCTTATAGAAAACGTTTGTTGAGCCCTGGTATGGATAAAGACACTGCCGCCTGGAGAGATTGAATTGCGTCCACCTATGAGGACGTAAAAGAAACTGTTGTCTGGATTAGCCCAGGGCAGGGAAGGGGACGTGGGTGAGAAGGCTAGGCATTTGCATCGGACCCTTTGCTGAGGGTTACTCTACAGTGAGCACAGACTACTTTGATCTCCAGGGGCCGCAGTGGTGAGGTATCCTTCAAACCCAGGCAGCTCTGCAAAGCCCACCCACTGAGTAAATAGGACGCGTCCCAAGACATGAGGCTCAGGACAGTCGCTCAGTTTGAATTTTTCCAGACCCTGAGTCATTTTGTAATATGACTGGGAGAATAAAAACTCCAGAAAGGCAATAAACTCATAGCATTGTAAAGTGAAGTCTTAAACTCTTTGAAATAAGTGAAAAATAACTAA